ACTGTAAGGAGCAGATTTTTTTTTCACACTGCCTGTGGTTCTGATCTTGAATGCATTGCCTGAAAGTGTGGCAGAAGCCGATACTGTAACAAATGTCAACAGATAATTGCTATACCGCGGAGAAAACAATTTAAGAACGGCTGCTAATCGAGAATAAAGGCAATAATATAAAATAGGTGAGATAGAAATTGTTTCATGAGCAACCGAGGCCTTATGTTAATACTTCAGGCAAATATTTGTAAATTTCTGTTGAAGCAGCAATAGTGTGTATGAGTGAAATATGTCAACTGCAACAGGAAGCACCTGTTACTGCTGTAAAGGAAAGGTAGTTACAGAAAGGAGCGTGACGTATTATGTGAGTTGCAGCTCATGTTATATGTGTTTGTTTAGTGCGCCATCTGCTGGTGGATTGCAACTACAATACGTACACAATTGGAGAGGTTTCATAGCATAATTATTTTGGGCCCGTCTTACTTTTCCTTGGTGCTATCTTCTCCACAGGAAGTTTATGCATTAATCTAATTTCCCTGCTCGTTCCCCATATTTTATCTTCCTCTGTGGAATATTCGGATATTCGGTGTCATTCACATTATTTTACATTGACGTGTCTCTGTGCTAACACTTGCTGCGCCACTTGCTCCTCCATTTCTATTGAATTCCTTGTCTTATTATTTCATCGATTATATCATTTGACTGAACAATTAGCTGACTTGGAGCATTTTGCACCAGAGTGACAACATATTGACATTTATTCAAGTCAGTTCACGTCAGGACGTCGTCGCAAGTTAAATGTGCTCACTAGACTTTAAATGAAATGAAATGTTCATTCTTCTTTAACTTCAATACACTAAATGGTTTCGTTTCTTTAGTGACTCGCCAAGAACGCTCCCATACGTGGAAAGCGCTAACTAGGAATAGGAGCAGACCATCAGGTCCTTGAGTTTGTTCCAACGTTATATCACATCATGTTTGATTTATCTCTCAACACATATTCTAACCTTTTCTTCGTAACCCTTGATATTCTGAGCTAAAATAAATGTGTCCAACTCAGTCTGGAAAATATGAATGGAACGAACATCTCCAGAATCTTTGTGGAAGTTTTCCAGATTTCCTTAAATTTTTCGTATTTTTTTCCTACCAACTTCTCTGCTAACTGGACTGGCTCTATTGCAGCCGTATTCTGCATTCCCCCAACCACCAGCAGAAACAGTTTCTCTACAGATAGCGGAAATAGTTTTTGTTTAAGCAATATAAACGGAAATAGTTTGTTTTGATGTTTACTTACTGACTAATGCAGCATAGTAAGAATTTTGCACATGGCAGCGCTCCCCAGAATGCAAGACATTTTTAATTATTACTGGAATGATAACATGACTACAGTTAATAACAACAATAATAATAGTTGCGTTTGATACAGCGCCATATCACATCTTCGAGACGCCACTCAGTGCTTCATTCAATATGCAGTAAACGAATTGACTGCATAGTGTGAGGGCGAAGCACGGCAGCAAATTGTAATTGTCGTTGACTCATTGGATGAAGTGACCAAATTATTATTAACACTATTATTCAGATGGAATTATTGCCTCTGAAAAATCGATACTCCAACCGATTAACAACCTGCTTCCTATTTACTGCTGGTAACCAGAGACTAGTGTGTGGAATAAGGAAAGTTGCACAATGATTCGTTCTGCAGGTCATTGAACCAACGTCTATCACTTGTAAGGCAAGTGCTGTAACCACTGAGCTACAGGACCCCACATGGCAGTTTTTGTAGGGCGGAACCGCTGATCTGTGCCTCTGTGGGGCTCAGTGCACAGTAATACCCCGCGGAGTCTGTAACTCTCACTTGCAATATATTTAATGGGACGGTTCTCTCCGCTTTAGACACATTCGTTGAGAAACGTTCTTCTGCAAAGTCCGCACCGTTCTTGATCCTGTTGTTGGTGTCTGTGCTAAAGATATATTCTGGAGGTCTGTTGGGAAAGTGACGGTACCAGAACAGATAGGTATTGTATTCGCTTGTAGCTGTATAATTGCACTGCAGGTAAACATCCTCCACTTCAGTCCCTGTCACAGTAGATTGGAGCTGTGTCTCAGCCTCTCCTCCACAATGTCCTGGGATCCAGACCCATATCAGCGTTCAATACCATAACAATAATCATAATACAAATTATTGCTTTTCATACAGCGCCATACTACATCATTGCGTCTCCAAATGCTTCATAGAATATTCTGAGAATGTATATTGTGTGGGCGACACGTGGCAGCAAATTGCGCACCACATTCTCCTAATAAAAAGTCATGGATTGACTGACAGCATTATTATTACTGGTACCCGATAAGCGATTATTAACACCGAAAACTGATCCGACGATCGACCAACGAACGGGTACGTACATATCTCGATGTAAAAAGTGGTGCGTGTGTGGAGGAAGGAAACTTGCCTGAGGTTTCGCTATGTCCAAGCCGGGAACTAAACCCAAGTCAACACGTTTGCTGCAGGAATGCATGAGTCGTGTACAGTATTGGTTATGTAATGCAAAATATATATTCATTGGATAATATGCAAATGACGCAGACTAATAGAGCGAGTTTGTCGCTTACCTGACAAGTTAATGATCACTGCTACCACATAGACATACATTGCCATGTGTATTTAATGTCACGGGACGTTGCGAGTGCGTTGATGGTGGAGTTCGAGAAAGTTGGCTGGGAGGCTGTAAGATACCGTGAGGAGAGCTAAACAGGAAATAACATATAGAAGTTGTCATATAGTGTGAGGGAGCAGGTCTGAGGGTTATGTAAAAACTTTGTGCCTCTGGCAAAATGCGTCACCTTCTCTGCTCTGCCGTCTCGCTCATCCAATGCTTCTCTTCCATCAGTGACATGTCTTCTTTGAGCAGTGTGACTGCACCAAGTTACACCCATATTCCAGTTCACGAAAACCCATTCATCAGTTCCACATACATATGCCATTTTCGCGTGTAAATGTGCCTATGGAAACGAATTTTCTCCTTCTCCCTGGAGGAACGCATAGTGTTTGCTTAATTTAACAGATTACGAGGTGGTCATAGGCAAGAGACCAGTCTTGGTGAGGTATATCTATTTTGGGCTACATTCTGGTGCATTAGTTCTCTTTTGTTGTTATGTTCAACCGCTGTCTGCTGGCAGGAAAAAGCGTTTTTTTCTAAAGAAACCGGTCCCCTTAGCTTGCAAAACGACTGCTTAATCCCATACACAACAAGACAGCACAGCCTGTTGACACCACTCTCCTTGTTGTCATTGTATAACCGCATCAGTTTGTTGAAAGCACCAAATTAAATACGTGAGCGGAAGTCATGACTTTCTGCTGAGTTTTTGTACGCGTTATGTGCCTTCCTGTAACAGTGTAGGCTCCAGGGCACAGTAATAAACATCGCTGTCACCCACAACAGCCCCGAGTATCTGCAGCTTAATTACTTTATTTTCCTTGATCAGTTCAGCAGTGAATCGTTCGGGTAGATCAGGAGATTTGTCTACCTTTCCAGAGGCAAATATCCTGAGCTCGTATCGAAGAGCTCCGCCGGGGTTTTGCCTGTACCAGAAGACAATGTCCAATCTTGAAATATTGCAGTTTAGTATCACGTCTTGCCCTTCAATTTCTGTTTTCTCGCGAGGATATTGTGATGCAACATCTTGCCCGCTCACTTCTGCAAAAGCACCAACAACACATTTTTCCGAGCTACTTAAAATTCGCTTTTATCCATTTTATGTTGCACGTTATCACACGGTTCAGACGTCTAAAACAAACCACGGAATATAGTGTAAAGCGAATTAGTTATATTTTTGAGCGAAATTGAGCAGACAGTTGAATTCAGCAGAATTACACCGATATTATTGGGAAATTTTATGATGTAAACATCGTGCACTGTGCATGTCCACACATACTTACTGGCTATGGTGAGGATTGCTATCAGTAACTGGCAGTGAGCTGTCATGTTGGCTGCTGTGGTGTGGACAGATAATGGGATCTCTTCCTTTGTACATCGCTGTGTTGCTGCTTCAGTGACAAGTTGTGAGGCAGCGGCTGATCTGACGTGTTGAATGGTTTATTTTTTACAACTGTAGGCGTTTCCCACTAACCAGAGGAACTTGAACTTGATCTGATGGTGATTGGGAGCCAATGGGTCTGCCTCTGTTACTGGTACTTGCTTTTATGCGTCTGAATGTTGTTGGTTTTGGACCCAGTTCGGCAGTTTCATCTCACAGGCGATACGAGATAGTTCTTGAATTCTAAAGCTAAATTAAAATAGGTCGGTTGTAATCTCTTTTTCAAGCTAAACAAATATAAAGGACTGCATAGATCTTAACGAAAATTAACATATTTATTACCGAAGTGAGATCCACTTAAGGATGGCTGCTTGTGTTGGACAAAGACAACACCTATAAAAAGTGAAGCAAATAATGTTTCCTGAGCAACCGAAGTTTTGTGATCATAATGCTTCAAAGTTTTTACACTTCAGCTGAAGTAGCAACAGTGCATATCAGGAAACTATGTCAAATGTAAGAGGAAGCACCTGTTATTGCTGCCAAGGATGTTAGTTACAGAAAGGAACGTGAGAAGTTATGTCAGTCGCTGCTCATGTTATGTGTGTCTTTAGTGCGACTACTGCTGTTGGATTGGAGCTACAGCACATGTATATTTGGAGACAGTTGATAGCAAATTGCTTTCGGCCCGTCATAACTTTCCCGTTACGAATGTCGCTACGTTAATGAAAATTAATATTTCTTATTTTTTCCGACTTGTTCAATTAGCAGAGGAAGACTACCATGTGCAGATCTCCGCAGAAAGCAAAATATATGAAGTATTTCTGTGAAAATAACATGATCGTACTTAATAATAATAAGTATCGTTGCATTTAATACAGTGCAAAATCAGATCTTCGAAACGCCACAAAATACTTTGCCGTGAATTGAACCCCCGTATCTTGCTTGCTTGGTTGCTTTCGAGGCGAGTGCTATAAACATTTAGCTACAGGCAGTTCTTGTAGGGCGGAATCGCTGATCTGTGCCTCTGTGGAGCTCAGTGCACAGGAATACCCCGCGGAGTCTGTAACTCTCATTTGCGATATATTTAATGGGACGGTTCTCTCCCCTTTAGACACATTCGTTGAGAAACGTCCTTCTGCGAAGTCCGCGTGGTCCGGGAACTTGTTGCTGGTGTCTGTTCTTAGGATATATTCTGGAGCTTTATTGGGATAGTGACGGTACCAGAACAGATAGGGATCGCTGGTGCTTGTAGCTGTATAATTGCACTGCATATAAACATTCTCCCCTTCATTCACTGTCAGAGTGGATTGCAGCTGTGTCACAGAATCTCCTCCACAATGTCCTGGGAAAGAAAAACACATCAGCGTTGATGAGCAATAATAAAAATAATAATAATAACATGAATAATTATTGGTTTTGATATAGCCCCTAATCACATGGTTGCGGTGTCTGCAAATGGTGCACATAATACACTTTTGCTTTGCAATTTGTGGGCGATAAGTGGCAGTTAATTGTGCACAACATTCACCCACAAACAGTAATGGAATGATTGACACCATTCTTAATGTTAATATCAGTATACATTTTTTTAAAGGATTATTTACAAACGAAATGTATTCCAACAATCGATTAACAAACGTGTATCTACTGACTTCTGGGCAAACAGCGTGTGTGTTTGTGGTGTAAGGTACCTTGCAGAGGGTTTCGCACTGTCTCGCCCGGGAATCGAAACCAGGTCATCTCGCTGACGAGACCAGTTCCTTGTCCGCTGAGCTAGACTTCTCCATGAGGCAGGTAGCGTATTGGTTGTTTTATACAATAAAAATAGGAACATACGAACATAGAAATCAGGAACAGGAGTAGGCCTTTCGGAGCCTCCTGCCAGCCTAGCCATTCAATAATATCATGGCTGATCTTCTAACCTAACTCTATCTGCACTCCTGATCCCCATATCCCTTAAACCTTCTATCCTTTAGAAATCTATCAATCTCAGTCTTGAACCTGTACATGGACTGAGCACCTTCAGCCTTCTGCAGTAGAAAATTTTGTAAGTTCCTTAAATAAAGCATAAGCATTTGATAATATGTACAGGAAACAGGCTGATAGAGTTAGTTTATCGCTTACCTGATAAGGCAATGATGGTTGCTACCACATAGATATACATTATCATATACATTTAATGTCAAAGGGCGTTGAGGGAACGTTGATGGTGCAGCTGGAGAATGTTGGCTGGGAGAGAGGAAGATACGGTGAGGAGTACTGAACAGGAATAACCTGGAGAAGTTACTCTACACTGTGAGGGAGAGGGTCTGAGGGTTACGTACAAACCTTGTTTCTCTGCGTCATTTTCTCTGCTCTGCCGTATCGCTCCTCCATTGGTTCTCTTCCATCACTAATATGTTTTTGTTCAATCGTGTGTCTGAAACCTGTAGCAAGATACACTCATATGTAAGTTAATCAAACGCTCATAAACGAGTTCACATATATGTACAATCAGTAGAGTTATGTAGCTCACGGAATAAAGCCATCGCCCCAAGCGAGAGATATCTGTTCGATTCCCGACATGGTCAACTGTTGGTCAAATTTCCTTACTCCACACTCAACACTGTTTACAGCGCAGTAAGTAGGAATCTGGTAGTTAGGTAGATTGCTGGTTTACTTTCTCGGTATAAATATCCTGTTTCGCTCTCAAAATGCACAGCCAATATAATTTAGAGTATATTCGGTGAAGCACATTGAGACATCTCAGAGGCGAAATTATTCGCTCTATTCAATGTCAAGGTTTGTTGTAATACATATAAGCAAAAGAAGGCAGGAAAAGGTATTCAGTGGAAGCCACTGAGTGTTTGCAGATGGCAAGACAATGACCTAATGTGTGTTGGCTTCACATCCCCGGGGGCAGCTGTCAATTTGGTAACGAAGTGAAACGAGCCATTGAGAGGGTTCAAAACGAAAGGGTAGGAGCCACGTTTCGTCAGCAGTTTCTCAGCTGTCTCACCCCCACTTAGTTGAGAGTTTTCCTCTTGCCACTCTCCGCTCAAGGCTACTGGGTTACAGCGGTTTGGGGACAAAGCACAAGTTTCTTAGCATAATCAAATTCTACAAGTAACTGCGTTGTACGATTTATTTCGATGAATGATACTTCACAGATTCACATTTATTTTTCTTAACCGGTGTCTGACCAATGTGGGGACACCCATAGCCATTCTTTTTAATATCCAAACCAACCTGTGTGATATAATAATCGCCAATGCCTTGCATATCAAACCTGATCACTTTTTCGAGTAGTCTATACGAACTTCGCAGGAAAAAGTGTATCGACAGTGTATTTTGTAGACAACAACTTGTAGCTACGTGCGCACAGCCGTGTCTCGCAAACAGTCTTCGATCGAGTGATCAACTTTTATAATCGACTAAAAGCGATTATCCAACCTCCTGTCAACCTGGTTCCTATTTCCGGCTCAGTAAAGCAATACAGACATAATAAACCTTGCATTTGATACAGTCCTTGATCACGTCTTCGTGACATTATGCAGCATTTCGTTGGTTGTACTGTGAAGGGAATTGACTGTGTCTATTATGGGATAAATACGGCAGCCGAATGCACACAGCAGTGTCCCACAATCTATTGTAGAATGAAGTGAATTTCTCTTTTCTTTTTAAAGCAATTATTAGCACCGGAAAAGCGATCTGCCAGTCAACTAACAGACATGTTGCTGCACACTGCGCGGTAAACAGACGCATGTGGAGTAAGAAAAGTAGCACAACATTTTGCCCGAACGGAAACCGAACCCAAGACACCTGGAAAGAAAGTAGAAATGAATATTTTTGGAAAGGAATTCGGAAAACATCTGCCACGACAGTTCGTAATTATTTATCAGGAAATAAAAGCGTTTGCTTGCACACAACCATTATCTACTCACACCGTAGGAATAGTATTACATTCAAAATAATATATTTTGATTTGTGATTCTGCTTCATTCTCAACTGCCGTCGATTCACGTCAATGTCTTCCGTTGAAATGTAACGAGAATTTATCTAAACGTAGCGTCTGGTTGATAAACTTTTCTCCATTTAAGGAGTTGTCTCTTATCCCCGCGTCATTATCTTGTCTGTGATCTTTGGTGGAGGTGCATTGCGACTCCCCCTAACGTTTACATTCAGATTCACTTCTCCTCGCTGTGGCAAACAATAGTAACGCAACAAAGAGACAGTGCAGAGAGACCTGAGTACAAAGACTCAAGAAATTATACAAATAATAATAATACTAAGTGCCTTATTAGGTCTTGGACACGTCTCGCATTGTCTGTGGAATATACGGTAAAATAATTTGACTGTGCTTTTAGAGTGAACCTCGGCAACCTGATGCACACAGCTGTGCCAGGCATACAATCCTTGAATGCGTGACCAATTTACCACTTTCTTACGGTGTTATTCCCCTGGCAAACTGTTCGCCATTCGGCTGATAACCGGGTTCCTATTCACTGGTCGGTTAAACAGAAGCGTGTGCAGTAAGCAAATTTGCGCAGAATTGCTCAATGCTGTGAATCTCCACTGCATGCGAGGCTAATGTTCTAACCACCAACCTATAGGACCCAGATGTGCTTTGGCAAAGAGCACAGATCTTAATAATGGGTCGACTTGCAGGAATACTGTATGAAGAAATTTGTGTTTCAGGAAGAGAGATACCAAAAATCTCTATATTCTGTAGAAACCAGGTTTAGGATTGATTCGGATATGTGGAATAGATTTTTCATTAATTGTGGGAGCAGAACAGTCAGAGAATCCTGAAACACCCGTACATTATGTCGACTGATCCCATACAATTTGTAATAAACTTTGATTCCAATAATCTACGTTTCGAGTATATCTGTTGCTCAGAATGGAAAGTGTCAACCAAGCAATGGGATGCGGTTGGCAACCTTCTGAAAACGGTTAGAAGCGGTGTGCAGGAATATGCTTTATTGATCCATTTTTCACAGGCTTTCAAGCCAGTGGTGTCTTGTCAGAATTTCAGCGCCCGAGAGACACCCAGTGGTAAGACACTGCAACATAAATGTGACCCTGAACCAGGAATAATAATATATATGTTTGCATTTGTTCCTTTGACATATGATGCCGGTGATGCGTCTGAAAGCGCTTCCCACAGTATACTGCATGAATATATTGCCTGAAAGTGTGGTGGTAGCCATATCGACAACATTTCAGGAGAGAAGCACTATACAGCAGAGAGATCGGATTAAGGGCGACTGGTTATTTGGGAGACAGATATAGAAAAAGTGACACAGAAGCTGCTTCTTCAGTGAACTAAACCTTTTGTTACTTATGCTTTAGAGAGACCTTTGTATGTTTCAGCTGAAGCAGAAATAGTGTATGAAGGAACCAATGCCAACTGTAAAAGGAAGCACCTGTTAGTGCCGGCAAGGCGAGCTGAGAAAGGAAAGTGATAAAGTTGTATAAGTTGCAGCTCATGTTATATGTGTGCTGGGTTCGCCTTCTGCTGGTGAATTGCAGCTGCAACACCTGTATAATTGGAGACATTTGATGGCAAATATCTTTCTGCCCATTTTTTATTTCCCGTTACGTATGGCTGTATTTGAATATGAGTTTTTGTATTTGATGTTATCCTGCTGATTAAAACACCACAGAAAGGCTCGTATATATGGCGGCTTAGCCACAGAGAGCAGGACTTTGAGGTTATTACTGCGACAATAACATGATTAAATTTAATTATAGTTGTAAACTTTTCATTCGCTATTGCACATTGCTGCATCTTCCAGACGCCGCAAAGTGCTTCACATAATACACGGTAAACGAATTGGCTTCATACTGTGTGAGCGAAACAAAGCAGCCGAGTCTTAACTTCAGTGTCCCATTGGGTTGTGTGACTAATTTTTTAATATGTTTTGTCATTTTGAAGGAATCATTAACCCCGTAAAAGCAATCAGCCCGGAATCGAACCAGGTCCTTTCGCTCTCACTATTGAGCTACAGGACACCACATGTCCTGCAGACATGACATAGACATCCCTTCGTTAACAAGCAAATTGAGGGAAACTGAGAGGCAATGAGTGCTGAGCAGTTATTGTGATGAACAAGAGCGGAATTGCTGGCAGATCACTGGAGGTTTGTGTACGGCCTCTCTATGTAACTGTCTCACTGTGTCTCCACTGCACACAAATAGGTGGCGGCGTCTGTCACTTCGGTGTGTCTGATACTCAGATTACTTTTCCCGTCTCTATAGCTCATCGTAGCTGTGATCCTCTCCTTCTGCTGCTCTCCTGTCTTTCCTGTTACCAAGTGTGTGAGAGCCTGGTTCGGATACTGTCTGTACCATTGTAAGGCCTGACTGGTATCTGTTGTGGAACAGCTGATAAACACGTGTTCCTTCTGCCAAACAGTCACAGAGAGTGGCGACTGTGAGACTGTATCCTGACCACTCACTCCTGGAAAATACAAGAAAATCTGTTAATGAAACTCACTCGTTAATTGTGGTCGAAGTAAATACAATGACTCACAAAGCTCAAGCGGGGTTTATCGGTGAAACATGCTCACCCCAGAGGAACACGGCAGCTTTCAGGAGGATGAAGAGCAAAGTGTACTGGCGCTTCATAGCCAATCTTTCAGCGCTTTGGTGAAGAAATGCAAGTTTCCTTTAAACTTTAGGCAGGTTTCCTTATTCCAAGCCCTTCTGTCTACCGAATAATAGGTAGGAAACCTGCTTGTTAGTCGATTTGCCGATACCGTTCCAGTTGAAATTGTCCCTGAAAAAAAATTGTCACTCAATCCACGACTGTTTGAGGATCTCTGCTGTGTCCAATTCGTACTCGAGTTTCGCGCGTGAAATACGCAGTCACTAACTTTGCAGTATTGTCTGTCAAGCGATTTGTGGTGTCTCGTTGATTTGATAGGCGCTGTATCAAATGGCAAGAATTATTATCAGATAGATAGTCAAAAAGAAGGTTGGACGTGGTATTCAGTGGAGGCCGCTGAGTGTGTGCAGACGGCTCGTGAATGGCCTCATGTGTGTTGGTGTCACATTCCCGGGGGCACATTGTCAATTTGGTAACGAGCCATTGAGAGGGTTCAAAACGAAAAGGGAGGATCCACGTGAAGTCAACAGTTTCGCAGATGTCTCTGCCCCAGTTAGTTGAAAGTTTCCTTC